ATTTTATTCAATAATATTCTAAAGTCTTAAGTTACCAAAGGCTTTGGAAAACTATGTTTCTGGTGAGAAGGCAGGAGGAGGGGATTTTAAAACCGCCACTTTTTTCCTTTAGAGATAACACTTAAGGTTTCTGTTGCCGCTGCAGGCTTCTCTGGCTTTTACAGGGAGAAGAGTGACTGGCCCTTTATCATCAACACATTATCACTGAAAAGCTTTACCACAAAGTCTAATTTGCTTATAAGCTTTCTGCACATAATTTAGCTGATTTTTCATGTCATTATACTGTCCCAGCCTTGCTAACATTTCATAAGTTATTTGAGCATTCAGCCAGGTTTATCCTCTTTAGTGTCTTTAAAAGGCTCTAGTAAATGAAATACCGTGTTCCACAAGGAGAAACAGTTTGGAGGCAAGTTTTTTCCCTGCTGCTGAGCTTTTTTCAAATTTTGACTAACTGTTTCCCAACATTCAAGACCTAATGTACCTTCTTCAGGAAACCAAGGTTTATGTTCTATAATAACATGCAAAAACTGTAAGAGATTACCTTCTGAAACTTTAATCCCTTAAGCATGCAAATCAAAAATCTACAATAGCCGAAACCGGTTTGGCTCAGTGGATAGAGCGTCGGCTTATGGACTGAAAGGTCCCAGGTTCAATTCCGGTCAAGGGCATGTACCTGGGTTGCGGGCACATCCCCAGTAGGAGATGTGCAGGAGGCAGCTGGTCGATGTTTCTCTCTCATCGATGTTTCTAGCTCTCTATCTCCCTTCCTCTCTGTGACAAATCAATAAAATACATTTTTTTAAAAATCTACAATAAAGTTTCTTACTTTTTAAGCCAAATTCTGCCCCATTAGCCTGGCTAAGGAAATGTTCCTACTTACAGATCAAGATTTCTGCAGCTGATCGTGGGCTTTGTGTGTGGTGAAATAACTCCCACCTTTATGGTGAATTCTTTCCCACCTTGCCATTGAATCTTCGTGTTTTTGTTCTAGGCGAAGTCTACTCTTCCAGATTTCCCTTTGAGGTGCCAGATGTGTATGTGTTCTCCCATGTCCCGCGTGGTTCAGGGTTCACGATCTGGAAGAGGAGCCGCACACAAATGAAAGAGACCAGATAATTTGGAAATATTGGGGGGCCAGGCCAAGTCCAACAACTCAAGGGGAAGGACTTCCACCGGTGCCCAGGCCTCACCAGCCTTTTATTCCACTTTGGTTAAACATAAAGCCCTTAGTCAGGCAGGTAATTGCAGTAACAGACAGGCTATCTTAAAGGTCAGTAAATATTAGAAGGATTTACTCTGAGACTATTTGATCAAGAAATAGCTTGAGCCCCCATTGTCAGGACTAGACAATTGGTGCATAACTCAGGCCCTTGCCATGGGTTCAAGGTTCACCAGCATTCCGGAATCCTTGTTTGCACTTCCCTGATAGTGAAGACAATGGGCGGCCTCCCACACTTGTGTGTTACCATTCTGTACAGTGATGAGTCAGGCAGGAACTCTTGCTTTATCTATCACACTGATAAGAAAATGCAGGCTCACAGATGTGAGTCATTTTTAAAGGTCTCACTAACAGAAAGTCATGTGAACCCGGTGTTTGAACCCTGGTAGCCACTCCAGAATCTGTGCTCAGACATCCCAGGTCAGCTCTGGATTTCTCCCTCAGGAATCATCCCTCTCTCCAGCTGTTACTACTGCTCCTGTCCTGCCTGACTCCTACTCATGGGATGTGTCCTCCACATGCTCACAACTGGATCAAGAAATGTCACTGTTCAGTCCAAAGCCAAATCTTCACCTTCATTTAGAACTTTACCTCCCTGCCCTCTTAGACACTCAATTTTTAATTAATACTAACATAGGATTCAGTATGCACCACATGATTTTAAGAGCATTATAAATTTCATCATATATTTAACCTTCCTAATGACCTTAATCACTAACAGGTTGTTATTTTTAGTGTTGCCATTTTATGGAAGAAGAAACTGAGACAGAGAAATGACTCCAGTGCACACAGCTAAGAGAGCATGGAATACATGAATGTTGTGTAGGATTGTCTTTGAGAAAGTACATGGATAAAGCACTTTGACTACTTTCTGTCCCTTGATTGGATGAAATGCCCACTGTGATGAAAAACAGTAAAGTAGGTCCTCTCCCAGCTGTGGGACTCTGGAAGCTCTGAGCACACCCTAAAACACCCTGGCTACAGCCTCTCTTCCCTATCAGCCCAGAAACAAAAGCATGTCCTGTATTCAAGATTAAATAAATGAATTCCTGCATTCATAACTTTATCTGGGTCCTATAAAGATCTGTATTGTGGTGTTTTGAGAGGGAGTCTCATTCTTTGTCTTCTTCTCTCAAAGTCTCCCCTCCTCCAACTGCTACAGCTCCCAGGTCATTTCTCCTCCTCAAGGCCATGGAGCACATTTATTTCTCTTTTTCTGAGAGGCCTATTCTCAACATCCTCTATATAAATTCTGTCCACATTCTCCCTATCTCAGTTCCAGCTTGTTTTCTCCTGAGCACATTTTATCATCTAATATACATATACTATGCATATTGTTTATTTGCTCTCTGTATTGTCTGTCTCCTCCCACTAGAATAGAGCTCCATGTGGCAGGAATTGATATCCATTTTGTTCACTACTTGATACTGAGCACTTAAAACAGTGCCCAGTTCATGTTAGGTGCTCAGAAAACATATGCAGTTAACAAGAAACTAAATTATTCTGAAACTCCAGGTATCTTCTCTGGTCACTCCTCATCTCCTGCATATCCCATTCTGCCTCTGCTTACCCCCAATATGTTAATGTTCTCAAGGATCCATTATCAGTGTTTCATTTTGCTCATTCTATTTCTTTTATGCAGCACATGGGCAAGGTTGTATTAGGGTTTAATTAAAGATCAATATGATAATGTACATAAGGAATCTTTGCCAGGCCTTGACACACTAGGCTAAATATCTTTTAGAAACATGCAAAATGTAGGAGACTGATTTTTAAGTTCTACACACAAAGCTGACATTCATGTGACTTATGTAACCATTAGATATGACTTCGGGACCTTGTGTTGTACTGAGTTGTTCCTTTGGGTTACAGCTCACCATGGCCTCTGGATACACCATGAAGGATCCCATTTGTCTTGTGGAAAATCAGAATAATCAGCTGACAGTAAATCCAACAGCACTGGAGATTCTAGACAAGATCTCTCAGCCTGTGGTGGTGGTGGCCATCGCAGGTCTGTATCGGACAGGAAAATCCTACCTAATGAATCGCCTGGCAGGAAAGAACCATGGTGAGTGTTGTTCTGGGGCAGCGGCCATTTGCTTGGAGGCAGTGACAACACAGGCTGATCACACCTCCTTTCAGGGTCATCTAAAACAAAGCCTAACTTCTTCCAATGAAAAAAAGTTCTAACTGTCATCACCAAATAAAGATCTTAAACCCCACTGTTCCACAAAACTTCACTCTTTGTGCCAATAATAATGGGTTCCCCAGCTCTATCCAAAGATCCACCCATTATTCTTGATCCCATCCACTCTTTCTGCTGAGGAGCTCAGCTCCAGCAATTATTCCCTTCATTTTTCTCCCATGACTTTTGTCCTTAACTTTAGGGCCTTTTCAACTAGGGCACAAATATTGGTCAACATGTCCTGTTTTCAAAAAGTGATGGAAGGCACAACAGACAACAGTATATTCTATGTATCCCATTGCTCAATGGGTCTAACATCCAATATTTTGCTTCATTTTTTAGTAAAACTTTGCTAATTTATACCCTCTTTTCTTTATCTAGTTGTTTCAATATATGAAATATAACACAGAAGAGTGCACAAAACATACATATATATAAAATTAATAAACATAAATTGATGCTCTGTGTAATCACTGTCCATATCAAGAAATAAAACATCACCAGCACCCAAAAGCCCTAGATGTACCCTCTGACACCTCACCAGAGCTCACCAATGTTTTTATTTTCATGGTGCATGCTTTCACTCTTCCTTTTGAAGAGTGGTTTTATAAGTTATGTATGCATTTGTAAGAATAGCTTGAATATATATAAAGGGAAATCCATTCAGGTACTCTTTGGAATCTTGTTTCTTTTGCTCAACAAAAAGTTTAAGTTTTACCTAGTTTGTTATATGTATCTATATTTATTTATTTTCACTATTTTATAGTATGCTATTGTGAGAAGATACTATAATATATTTATGTTTGTTGCTGACCAACATTGGTTTTGTTCTAGTTTTTTTAGTTTTGTGAATGATGCTAACATATCTTCTTGTTTGTATATCTTGGTGCACATGTACACAAACTACCTTGTGTGACAAACCCAGAAATAAAATTACTGGGTCATGGAGTTTATATGTTGTCGTCCTTTCTGGATACTCTCAAATAGCTCTTCAAACTTTATATGCAATGAATATATTTATTAGCAGTAATTGAGAATTCACCATAACCTCACAAAACTTTGGTTAATTTACTTTTTAAAAAATTTGATGATCTGATGTCTGTACAGGTGCATATTATATGCCTTATTACAAATAAGTTTGAGCATCTTATCACATATTAATTTTCTCTTTGCATTTTGTATTTCTTGAGGTCATTTTTCCTTTCTATTGGGTTGCCTTTTTTGTTCTTACTGATTTTTAGAGCAATCTGCCTGTGTCTTGTAATTCATTTCTCTCTATGAAGACCACACACATTTTTATTTTCAAATGTCTTCCTCTGTGTCTCATCAGCTCAGCACCATTAGGAGTTAAACCTCAATACCCTGAAATGCAACAATTAATAGCAATATCTCTCATTGTCCTCTCACTGTGTCTCCTTTCTGTCTCTCTCCTCTCCTTCTCTCCCTTTCTTTCCTTCTCCCTTTCTCCATTTTGCTTCACAATCTTTCCCATTTGCATCCAACAGAACATTTTGTCTTGGTCTTTCCTGTGGAGAAATTCTAGACCACCACTCAAAGGACAACACTTTTCCTTGCCTGTATTAAATTAATTAATTTTTGAGGATTTAAGATTTGAGAAACCAAAGGGAAAGAAAGCAGTTAAGGAGTTTCAACACCATCCTTTTAATTCTACTCAAGATAACATCAGGTAAAAACGAGGTGCTGTTTCATTGCTGAGGAGGTCTCAACCTGCAAAATATTGTAATAACTATGTTTAGTGCAAGGTTGGCCCTTAAAATAGAAGTGGGAACACTTTGCAAAGTATATGACTGTGCAACAGTTATGCTATACAACTGAAATTAATACCATATAATGTTGAAAGTAAACTGTAAATGGCAAAACAACAACATCTGAATTGAGACTCTACCACCCAACTCATATAACAGAATAAAAGAAAAAAGAAGGATTGGTGCCCAGTCAAGATCCAGGAGCAAGATCAGGTCACGACTCTCTCCTCTTGTTGATAACTTCCTTTGTGGGGTTTACCTCTCATAACTGAGAGTGATGCTCTTCAATTACACCTACCTCTTCTCACTGGGAGAACTGGGGGTTCAGATTACTCTGTATTACTAAGCAAACAATCAACTACTATCACCTTGTGTATGAATGCAGGCCATCTCAGGCTTTATACCCTCTCTATGGAGAACTCACTGGATGTGGAAATAGAATGGCCTGAGCCAAGTTGATCCAACCTCCCCAACACATTCCATCATGTCCATATCTAGTCCCCATTAAAGAAAACATTGGCCTATGACGGATGTTAAAAATGTTGAACTGTTTGAAAAGATATATCACACACAGGTCCTTGGGCATATCCCACACATGCTCTCCACCTGTAGGTTTAATCTTTAAAACTCCACTTGTAGTTTTAAAGAGGAGCAACCATATTTAATAGGTGTTTTCTGCCTCAATGTCCATTATATCCTACACCTGAGTCAGTGAAAAAGAAAAAAAAATTCTCCAGATTTTCTTGAAGAAGAGAAAAGAAATGAGAAAAATAAAAGAATAAAAGGGAAGAAAAAAATCCAACAAAGCTGATTATCAGCCCAGTTTCTGGCTGGACACACAAAAAGCTCTCATTGGGTACCTAAAGAATGTTTAATAGAGGGACTCATACAATGGCATAAGCAGGTCACAGAGAACTAATTGAGGATGAGGAAGCACCCAGAGGGTGGCAATTGCAATGGCCAGGTAACTATAATCACTCCTATAGCATGAACCAAAAAGCAGAAAGTGAAACCAGAATGTGACAAAGATCAGCACAATTGGATGGAGCTAAATGAAAGGGCTGTGACCCACTGAGAGGAAGTGAGGCACTGGGACACTGTGGCTCACTAAGGGGAAGCGAGGTGAACACATGCCTGACTTCTAGTTCATGCTGGCATCTCCCACTGGTGGAACTCCATCAGAACCTGAAGGACAAAGGGGCTCTTCAGTGTCAGAAGGAAATATAAAGGTCAATAGAGGTTATAGTAATTCTGTAATGCGACATAGCTTGAGCCATTGATAGTATGGAGTGAGTAGGAAACACACAGTGTTTCTTGAGAAGGTCCTTAATATGGATAAAGATTAGACAAGCTGTACTTGCTGAAATTGAAGAAAACTTCCTCCCAGCCAGGCACTCACATTCTGATAACTTTAACCAATGTAACCTATGGGCTACCTGGCCAATCTGCTGTTACTCTATGCTTTCCCCTCTTCCTTTGCAGGTTTCCTTCTGGGCTCCACAGTGAAGTCTGAAACCAAGGGCATCTGGATGTGGTGTGTACCCCACCCCTTGAAGCCCAACCACGCTCTGGTCCTTCTGGATATTGAGGGCCTGGGTGATGTGGAAAAGGTAAGGCAAAGAGTCTTCTTTGTTTTTGATAATCAACTTACATTTTAATTTGCAAACTTTGTTCAACTTCTATATTTCTCTGAACTACAAATCCACTTAAGAATAATTAGGTTAAATTTTGTTTAGTTGAACTTACTATGTTGAAAACTCAATACTTAATCGGTATATATCTTCTTATTTTTACATTTGGTTGAAAGTTGCAAGATAACAAATACTTATTGGGCATCTGAATTCTAAGATTTTGTCATAATTAGTACAGCTATGAATGATTTAGGAAAAGGCTCAGAGCTTAGTTGGGAGATAAGAAATATGCAGTGTTATCAGTACAGGGTATGATGGATACAAGGAGTGACATATTTAACCAGTCTTCAGGATAAGGAAACCATCCTGGAGAAAGTTATAATTATGGGATCAATACACTCTAGTAGTTAAGGTGTGTGGATTGATGGTTTGAAAGTAGGAAATGCGAAAATGGGTTTCTTTAAAATAACATCTACACTAATAAAAGAGAAACATGGTAATTAGCGTATGACCGCTACCCTTCACATTGGCTAATCAGCATATCCTTATGCAAATTAACTGTCGGCTGGCAGCCATG